GCCTAGAGGGGACACTAGCTTCCTGAGTCAGCTCAGAGCTATGTGGACATAGTCTGCCATACTCTCTCTTTTCTCGCCTGCTCCCTATAGAAGGTTTACCTATGGGGTAACCATCTTCAGCTCTCTGGAAAGGAAAAGAACCACAGCCCCACTTTTCAGATGAGGGAACAAGGTGCAGAAGCCTTAGGTACACAGCAGGGTTCTTACCCCTCTCAAGCTCTCTGACCTTTGCAAAAGCATTTCATCAGCACCAGAGACAGCGACAAGTCTCCGCAAAGCTGTGTGATACTTCTACCTGCAGTCCTTGGCACAGACATTTCTCCAGGACCATTGCTCTGAATCAGTGTTCTACCTAGGCACGTGCATGAATTCACTACAGCACTGATGTGATGGAGAAACCTGGCAGATGTGAGAGTGTAGGCATTTTCCTAGGTAACAGAGAACCCAGGGATTTTAGCAAAGGCTCTTGGATCTGGGAAATGATCTGTAGGTCTGAGAACAGAAGACAACGATCATCCATTGAGAAAAGAGGAGCAGCAGCAAGCTGGGCCTCCACTGTGAGTTAGGTGAGCACACTCTGACCTCTGACCTCCAGAGGCCAGCTGCTGACTTGCATGCAGTTGGGTGATCTCCATGGAGGAGCAATAAGGGACACAGTAGAGGCCAAGTGCACAAAGATGACCAGTCTCGGCCAATTCTGTCATAAACAATAAATGGGGGTGGTTAAAAGGTCCTAAAACTGTCCCAGTGGTCTTCCAGAGCCCCATTTTAGTTGGTCATGTGGGCATTCCTGGGGAGGATGTGACTCGGGGACAGATAGCTCTCTATTGCTCAGATAGTTCATGGTCGGGATGATAGCATTCATAACCAAAGAGACTCTGCCACAGCACTCTCAGCCGACAGGCAAGAATACTTCCTTGGGGACAGTTGGAGTGGCACACACTAAAGCATTTCTAGCATCTGCACCCTTGGATAAATAGTAAATATTAAGCAATATATATATCTACCCACCTGTCCATTCATCTACCCATTAACATTTATTACACACATCTTAGGAGCCAACCCAGTGTAATAAGTACCTGATTTAAGCAGGGGGTGGTGCTCAGAAGTCTAGGGGAGAATAGAGACACATTGGTGAATAACTCGAATGTCATTGCTGAAAGAGAATCGATTGTCAAAACCTGCTTGTCTGAAGGTGAGATGCAGGATGTAGAAGGAGGATCAGCTCTTCCCACAGTCACTAAATGAGGACCGAAGGAGTTCACAGGAAAGAGGAAGGTGTGGGTGGAAGGGATGTGCAGAAAGAGAAGGATCCTGTGAGGTGCACGCTGCTCTGAGAGGGCTCAGCAGACTTGGTGGCAGCGTGGATGGAGTGGCAAGGTTGTCCATTGGGAGTGTTTGTAAATGGACTTCTTCCTCCAGCCCAGAAATCACTGAGGAGTTTCTGAGCAGAGGACTGACAGTAAAACACTGCGTTTCAGGAAGGGCTGTAATAATAGACACGGCAGACAGGTGGAGAAGTCACAAAAACGCCAGAAAGACTTACATATGCTGGTATGTGCCGGAATCAGGCATGCACAGCAGGTATCTAGTGACCCTCAAACCACAGGCCAGTGTCCCACCTGAGTGACCTTCTTCACGTGTGATGGCTAGTTCCAAGACGTGGATCATCTTCTGTTGATCATGTGTGATGTTCCTCTGAGCATCTATAAATGATGCACTATTAAGTATGGGCTGGTCATTATTGGTGCCCTGGACCCTTGTATACATAGGGCCAAATGTCACATGGGCATTATCAAAGCTTTCCCAGAGTTTCCTTTGCTGCCACCCACATTCTACTCTTTTGCCTTTTCAACTGGGTGTCCATGGCCAAGGAAGAACCTAGAGAACAGTTTCACTTACATTCTAACATTTTCCCAGACAAGTGCATTGTTTCTGGGCCCAAGGGAGCTGAGGTCACCTAGACACCTCCTAGACACTCAGGGGCAAGACTAGAATGAAGCTATTTTGTTTGCAGAATGAGTGAATGACTCATTTCTAAAACCCTGGTTAAGGCTAGGCTGCCTAGAACCTGACCTGAGCTGCAGAAACAGCCTGTGTCCTGGAAGAAGCATTACTCTGGGTGCAAGTACAAGGGCTGTGCACCAAAGATCATATTCTCTTGGTTGCATAGGCAGTCCTCCATCTGCAATAATGTAACAGGATGATTCTAGGAAGAAATTCCAGCATTTAAAGAAAATTAGTCTAAACAGGGTCAGAGCCCATTCTGTTGATGCTTAGACGCAAAATAAAGGCTCTGAGCATGTACGATACTTCTGTTCCCTACCCAAGGGTCCAAATCACAAATTTACACAATGGACTCTGGACAATGCCTATCCAGGGAAGCTCACATTGTGATGGGTACATCCAAGTAGCCTGCTTGGAGGCAGTGAGCACAGGAAGCCAATAATCCCATAGATGACAATGCTCAAAACCAGGGCCTCTTTCTCCATGCACAGAACAGGGGTCAGATGAGCCTCAAGGAAGCCAGTCCACCTGGAGGGCTGACAGAGGCCATATGTTACATGGAGAACCTTGCTGCTCAGTTTTGTGAAGGTCGACAAAGGACCAAATGGGGGAAAATACCTTCTAGTTCAGAATATCTCATGTTGTGCGGTTTTGGCTCAGAAACAAACCATTCCCTCTATTACGGTCCCGGTGTATGCCAGGCAGGAAATATATGCTTTCTCTGTTCCTTGTGGCAACCTTGCAAGGTACTTCTACATTCTGTAGGTGAATGGATAGAACTACAAACAAGGTGGCTAAATGGACCAAGGTCATATAGTAAGAAACAGAGCCGAATTATGATTCATACTTCCTGGCAGTGAAGCCGTGATTGTCTCCCTCCACTCTCTGATCTTGGCCGTGCTGGTGAGAGCAGTTCGGGGGGGCTCGTGGCCACTTTGCATCATGTTGCTCATGGGTGAGCCCACGGGAAAGAAGGCAAAGCCAGGACCTACCCACCAACCTACACTGCCATTGGCAGAGCACGGCTGTTAGAGGTTAACAACTCCGTGAAGCCTCCTGTCAGGCGCATGTCAACAGCCAAAGAAAGACAATGGTTCTGTAGCCCTGAGCGGTCCTCAGTTCCCTAGAGTCTTGGATGTCAGGGCCAAGACCGAAACAATGACAAGCTGAAGAGAAGATGGTGAGGGAGTGTTCCTGCCCAGCCCTGCAGGGAAGGTGCCCTCCATACATGGGGAAAGGGCCATTTCCATACATTTGGGGGGGATATATATGCCAAGGCAAGAGGAGATGAGGTCAGGTGGTCAAAAGGACTTTCTGCTGACTGTAGTGAGAAAACATGCAAGATGTCTAGAGTTAGAGTACTCCATCCATGGAGTTTGTCTGGTGGCGACAAGGGCAGCGGTAGAGCAGAGTGCTGTGTTGTCGAGGGAGGCTCCATGCAGCTGAGACACACCCATGAGCTCTTCTTTATCTGTGGGGAGCAGGGAAGGCTGGGACAACTGATAGAGACACGGCCAAGAGGGTTCTCCATTCCACCTCTGGGGTTTGGGGTGCTCTAAGGAGTATCTCTGCTCCTTAAGGTCAGGGAAAACACAGAAGGGGCCTTCTGACACTGTTTGAGGTACCTTTGGAAAGGGTTAGTCTTGGAAGAATTAAATCCTGAGGCTTCCTAGCTCTCCAGTGCCAGGAGCACCTACCTCACTGGCCTGTAAAGTTGGGAGGGCTTCGCTGTATGGCCCTCAGGCCTCTTCTAATCCTAACCCTCTGATACCGTCTGCTGCACAAGCCATTCCCCAGGCTCTTGGTTCTCTTCATATTATACACCTGTAACACTTATAGTACATTTGTCATCTGCATAGCTCTCAGTGGGGAAAAAAGAATCAAATAGAATTCATGCCTTGGCCTCTAAGAAGGGACAGTGTAGAGAGAAGAGTTTTTATTCAGTGTGTATCCTGTGCTAAACACCTTATATTTAGATTCTCGTGTTCCTCACTGTAGCTCACTGAGGTTGGTATTGACCCTGGTTATGTAAATGAGGACCCCAAGGCTCAGAGGCAAAGCAACGTGACCAGCGCCACACAGTGGTGGGGCCTGAAGCTGGCGCCCAGCTGTTAGTTACACCCGCTGTTCTCTACAGTGCAGTACACAAGGACCCTCTGAGGATGGTTCTCGGTGTTCTGAGACAGAATGGGAAACTACAGCCATCCAGAGGAGCTTAGAGGAAGGGCTTAGCCCTGGGCCGTGAAGTAGGGCAGAGCTTGGAGGGTAGTAGAGAAAGAAGCAGCGCAGGTTACTAATCCCCCGTGTTCTTAGGGTAGGCAACAGGAAGGCAGTAATGGCTCGACCTGCTGAGGGCTCCAAGGGAGGAAAGGGGAGCCAGCAAAGAACAGAGGCCCCCTAAACCCAGCAGTGCATGCTCCCTCCTCTCTACAGGCCCAGTCCCAAAATGAAGGTCTGAAAGAGCCGATAGCCATTCCCTCTCCTGGACTCACCGAGGAAGTCTAAAGATGTAGCAAGTCCCACTAAGCCCCCCAACCAATGACTCGAGCCACACCAGTGGCCACTGCAGTGGTTAATACCGTGTGTAGCAGTGTCCACAGCCGGACGGTTTTAAGGTGGGCAGTAACTACACCTTTCCACTTCCCGCCAGGCCTGGATAGTTAAGATGCCCGTTTCCAGACTAGGGTCAGTAAGTAACCTGCTAGGGTAGCCCAGCTGCTAAGAGGACAGATCCCAGATGTGAGCCCAGTCACTCTTCACCATTCTGCTCCTGTTCTGAGTCCTAGCTCCAGGTACTCCCTCTACCTGGGTGCCCTCCAAACTCAGGTTTACCCCTGCCGTGGGCTTTTTCCAGCCATAAGAGCCCTTTCCAAGGGGGGCAGCAAGAGATATCCATTAGTCCCTCTCATTGGAAAGGACTAGAAACAGGCAGGTCAGGCAACATGCACCCTCCCCCCTTCCCCCAACCGAGCACCGTTGCCTTCTGTTCACAGTGATGGCTCCTGTGCCCAGGCCGGTGGGGGCATGGAGGACTCCGCGGTGGCAGCCGGCAGACCCAGTGCCCATGCCCCGAAGGCTCAAGCCCAGGAGCTACAGCAGGAGGAGGAGCGACCGGGGGCGGGGGGCTCCCCACGGGCTGGCCCCCTCCGCGCGGCCTCCCCTGGCCAGCAGCAGCCTGCCCTGGCGACGGCGCTCTGCTCCCACACCCCTGCTGCCTCCGAGTACGAACTCTCCCTTGACCTAAAGAATAAACAGGTACCCAGGGCCTCCTAGGGGGGCGGGGAGGGTGGTGAAGGGCCCTGCCTTTGGGGGCTGTCCAGGGTGCCAGGGACCCACAGGCACACTTCTTGTCAATGTTTCTCCTCGGCTAAACTACCTACCTGTCCTTTCCTAGACCCCAGTTCCTCGGGAGGCCATGTTTAACCACCATCAGGCCTTTACCTGGAGTGATTCATGCCCTGCACCATATAGCTAGTATATCCAGGGGCTCTGCCCTTTACAGGTGTAAACTTCCACTTTACCCAGAAGAAATAGCCTTACTCCCCTGCCTCCCAAGAGTAGCCTAATTCTAAGACACACACAAGTGTATATGTGGGCACGATTTCCAAGGCTGATACAGTTGAAGGCATCAGAGCCTCCCTACTGAGAAAGGGACACCTGCTTAGAGGGAGGTGTAATTGTTAGAATCTATCAAGAAAGAGATTTGAACTCAGAGAGGTAGATATGGATTCCAGTCCTCACTGTTCCTTCAGGAATGCCCACAAAACACTTTGAGCCTTGCTTTCCTCACCAGCAAAACTGGGAACTAGACCTTCAGTTCCTGCCAGTAGCCCTGCTAGCTCTATCATGTGTAGGCCCTAAAGACCCAGTCTTGGCCTGCGGACAAGGCAAATCTCAGGAAGCCAGTAGGATGGAGGAAAGCCAACCTGACTTCATTCCTTTTGAAGGACGCTGATGCCAAGCTATCGTCCTGGTTTGGGACCAGCGGTGGGTGATGTGCCTGACTTTTAGTAAAGCTTTTGACAAAATCCTTCGTGAGAGCTATGTGACAAGACAGGATTGTGTGGATTAGATGACAGCACAGACAGGTGGGGTTTTCACGAGTGGAATTTGCAAGCAGAACCCCACACCACCAGCATTTTCTGTCTGGTCTATGGCCAGGGACAGTGCTGTCCTTGGTCCTGCCCAGTTCCTTGTTTTGAGAAGGCACTGGATAAAAACATGAACGCTCCAGGTACCAAGCTTTCTCGTGAGATAAGGCTGAAGCACAGTCGCCAAGAACCTTAACAACTGAAGCCAAGATTTGTTTTTTAAAAATGGACAGAAAGATGCTTCAAATGAAAATAAGTCAGAGAAAATAGGAAGGATTCTAAAATCCTGCTCCCAGATTACGATGCCCAAAGTGCCCATATTTTGTGTGTTGGATGAGAACATGGCCCTGGAGCAGGAGCTTGGGGCTCTGGTTGAGTGTGATCTCACAGACTTCTGCTGTTAGTGAGGGAGCTGCACCCAGCCTTCGGGGACCCTTCCGAGCAGATCCCATAAACCACAGGACAATGCGGTGGCCAGCCGGCAGTCCTGAACCGCACACTCCTCAGGATCTTTGGATCTTCTGCATTCTGGATGGCAAATGAGAACTCCAGAGGTCCCTGAAGAAGGAAAAGAGAGCAGGTTGTGGTCGTGTAAAGAAACCATAGATTAGAATGTGAGTTTGAGATACGGAAGGGATGAGGTGCAGAAAACTGATGACCCGCATTTTCTATCATTCCAGAAAAATATAGACACTGATAGAGAACATTTCAGCTTAAGGATTAGACTTATAGAAGAGTGTAGATGCCTGGCCCATGCCATCCTGGTCTCTTTATTACTGGATGAAGCTCTAGGGGGATCAAGACAGTGTGGTCTGGGGGAAGGGCCATCTGCTAACACCCCCCAAACTCCATGGGTCTCTCCACTCCTCTGAGGCAGGAACCATCTTTGTACCTTCCCCAGCATCCAGCCAAGTGTCTTGGATGTAGTATAGAGTGTGTATTATTTTTTAGTAACTATGATATGTGAAGCAACAAGCAGCAGAGCACCAAGGAGAAAGGTCAAGTCTCTTGTCCCCCCCCGCCCCCCGCCAGAAGAGGGATTGGGTCATATCCCATCAATCCAGGGGAACCTGGCTTGAGCGGAAGTTAGTTGAGTGCTAGGTGACTTGATGAGAAACGGGGGCTGTGACAGACTCGGATGGGACTGGTGACCTGTTAGTAGTGTTCCATCAAATTCTAACAGTTAGGCATGCATTTCAGGCCACTCAGCCTTAGAGAGAGTGCCCTCCCCTGGATTTTGTATCTTTCTAGACTAACCATAGGTAGAGTAGGCTGGAGAAGCAGGGGGCTAAGGCAGACTGAGGCCAGAGCAAGATTACTGAAACATGGCCCATGTTTACAGCAAACTGAACTTTTCTTTTCTCTACTAAAGAGCTGTGTGACTTTGGGCAAGCTGTTTGACTTCTCTGGGCCTCAACAACCCCACATGTATCTCTGGGGCTTTGCATACTCCCCTTTGCTTCTGTCTCCACAGTTCTCCCTCCTCCTAGCTCTCCTCCCTTGGCCTCTTACTTTCCACCTCTCTGGAAGCTTCTTTGGCCTCTCATCATCCCCCCCCACCCCGTACCCAACACAGCACCTGGTAGTAAGACTGTGTTCTGTGGTAGAACTTCATGTAGCTTGTAGGGTTCTAGGTTCAGTCCCCAGCACCACAGTGAGGTGAAATTAAACGATGGGAAGGGGTGTCTTAAAATTAGTAAAAAGTCCTGTTTACTACAGAAGAAAAAGAAGTATGAAAATGCTCATTACTTTTGGGCCAACTTAAAAGTTAATTTAAGCCATGCAATGGAGGTGCACTCCTTTGATCCCAGCAGATGAGAAGTAGAGGCAGGTGGATTTCTGAGTTCAAGGCCAGCCTGGTCTACAGAGGGAGTTCCAGGACAGCCAGGGTTACACAGAGAAACCCTGTCTTGGAAAAGAAAAGTTAATTTAAATGTATGGAAATATCAGATATCAGGAAAATTCAAGTGATGTTGCTCAAAAGAACAACGATTTAAAAGATGTTCAGAGAATGAAAAGGTGGGAGGAAGACTTCGTGATGAAGAGGAACAGGAATGAGCATGAAGCCTAAGCCAGGTCCTAACTAGAACTCTTATAGAGAGAGGGTTTGGTATTCTGACCCTGTGGTTACCCACAATCATATGGAATCTGTCAGTTTTCAGGCTTCAGGTTGTGGGTAACCATGGCCTCCCCTCTCCTCCACCTCCGAGGTTTCCCGGTCAGCCAACCCAGACCCAGAAGCATTTTTCTGGCTCCTTGTTACCTCCTATCATCTCCATCCTCAACCCTTACTGAGCCTGTCCCTAATGTCCCCACAAACCCCACCCTGTCCACCGCTGCACTGGAAGCCAGGCCAGCCTCCCTCTCGCCTGCGCCCCCCCAGGTCACCTCCTGCCAGCTCCAGCGTCAGCTCTGCCTCTCCCACCTGACTGCCACAGCTTGGCTGAGTCATCTCCGCAAAGTGCACTTCTAATCACTGCAGCTCTCCGCTCGAAACCCTTGATGGCCACCTTTATGTGCAGTACAAAAGCTTCCCTGGCTCGCCTGCCGCAGACCCGAGCCCACACCAGGGTCCCTGCTGCTCTTATTCACAGCCCCTGAGTCCCCTGGCCAGCCTTTGCCTCTGGCCCCCCATCCACAATGCTTCCTCCACTGGAAGCGCCGAACCCAAGCGGGCTCCACTGTGCTCCTCGGGTGGTCTCAGCGTACACTTGTCTCATCCAGAAGCCCCAGGCTGGGTGAGCCCTTGTGCAAGAGCACCATGAGGAACGCTGCTGTCCCGTAGCTGTCCACTCCTACAGACAAGGACTGTGTTGTTCTCTGGCTCTGACAGAGCTGAGCGGATTATGCTTTGAACACTCACGGGGTGCGGGTGGGGGCAAGGATTGTACGTCGTAGTACAGTCCACATGGAGAGCTAGTGGTCCCAGAGTGGTACACTAGCTGCCGCTCTGCCCTTGGCCATCTCTGTTCTCCTGCGCTCAGCACAGTCCCTGGATTCTAGGGAAAGCTCAGCCAGGGAATGAGTGGATGAAAGAGATCTTCCCCAAGCTTCCCTGCACCTCACTGACCCCTTCCCCAAGACCCTACCTCAGGAAGGGGCCCTCTGACACTACTACCCTATACCCCTTCTTCCCTGGTCTGCTCACTTCTTGTAATGATCCTTAGGGCTGCAGTTTAGAGAGACAGAAAGTGTAAGCATGTATGATCCATAGGGATGAGGAAAACCACTACTCTAGTAAAGCCACTGTGGCAGGGGTACAGACTCCATGCCCTTTATACTATAGAGGTTCCAGTGTGATTCCCAAATCCTCCAGCTCTCTAAGAAGTTTGCACGCTGCTCTCTGTTTCGGCTGCAGAATAGGCCATCGTGTCTGGCTGTCCAAATTGTAGAGCTCCCTGATCTGGCCAAACCTCAGGGCCATAGAGGTATGGTCAGAAGCATCCAGGGATTGTCCCCAATCCATGTTCCACGGATGTTACAGTCTGTCCCCTTTCTTAGCGTATCTTCTAGACCCCAATCTACAAAGTTCAGCCTCACCCCAGGGCACCTGGCCAAGAAGTGGTTGACGAGGTTTCCCTGAGCCTCGGTTTCCTCACTAGTGAACTCGGGTACTGTATTGAAGTGTCTCTAGGCTCCTTCTCGCTCCAGAGGTGAGATTCTACCCTGAGTAAGAAGGAACCAGAGGACCAGGCTGTCAGGATGGGAGCGAAGACGTGGCTACGCAGGAGGTGTCCAACTCGGCTTCATTCTCAGAGAAGGGTGTCACACTGCTGCCCTCTGCTCACTGCTGGTCCTGGTGACACTGATACAAAGCACACAACCATTTCAGTCACAGAATGAGTCTTTCTGTGGTGCGCATGTAGGTGCCACCCAGGGCTATCTAAGCACTGGCTCTCTGTCAGGCAGAGTGCAAAGCCTTTGCCATGCACTGCTTCCCAGACTGGCACATTGTCACTGTACCATATCTCGGATGGGAAGACCAAGGCACCTTCCCATCTCTGCCCATCACAGTACACTGTATAGATTCCACCAGTCAATGCACACAGCCTGACCTGTCATAGAGCAGCCCTGCACATGGGGTCTCTTGCTCTCGGGCTGATGTCTGACTTTGCTTTGCCAAGTTCCAGAGACGCATAACATGACTGGCTTTAATGCTCTCAG